GCACTGGGTGTTATGCACAAACAATGAATCACGGAACACTACATCTAAAACTAATGATGTAATGTATGGGGATTAACATAAGAATAAAAAAAAAAGGAAAAAAAAATTCTTTAAAAAGGGACCGTTTCCATCAGAGGATACGGTCTCATTTCTCTTCATCCCTAGGACCACTGAGTGGCTCTAGAGAGTGTTAAGTGCTGTAGCTAGGCACATGGGTTCCAGACCAGATCCCCTGGACTCAAATCCTCATTCTGCCATTTATTCACACACCTGCTCTGGGACTCACCTTCCTCACCTGTAAGCTGGGGAAAACAGCACAACCCACTTTCAAAGGGTTCGTTCCTGTGACAACTAAATGAGTTAAATGTGTATAATGAGCTCAGAACAGTGACAAGCCTGTAAAAAACCCTCGGCAGAGGTATTGCTCATGATCAGTATCCTCATGGAGCTCACACCCACGCTCCACAAGAGACGTAAGCACGCCAGGTAATCAGCCTGGCTTTTCTGACGCACAGTCTCTACTCTACCTTGGGAAAAAAAGCCAGCGCCATGCAAAATGACTGCAGCTGGTGGGTTTTCTAACGCCACACACACAGAGCCTGGCTTCCCTTGGAGGTCAGCTGGGCTCTTGCAGGGCCCAAAGAAGCACATGCATACTCGAGCATTCCTCCCGACAACCTAAGCTGGCTGTGCTTTGAGACTAAACCTACGACTAGAGAGCTCTAGAAATCATGTCCCTTCTGAGGCACCCGGCTGAGGGCAGCCTGCAGACCAGATGTCAAGCTTTTATATTAGCTACTAATGAGCTGTTATTAATATATTTGTAACGATTACAAGTAAGAGTGAAGACCCTACGGCCCCTCCCTTGTTCTATTCTTCTCTCCAGAAGGAATCACAACGATCCACTTGTGTGAGCCCTTCCAGAACCTTCTATGCATTTATGCATCTATAGATGCATTCCTAAAATTGTATGGTTTTGACTGTGTTTAAAAAAAAAAAAACACAAAATATCGTATGTGTCCTTATTAACTTGTTTTATTTCACTGAAAAGTTAAGTCTTCCTATCTTTTTGTGTTAGCAGGAATAGCTCGACCAGGGTTTTTTTTTTTTAAAGATTTTATTTATTTACTTGACAGAGAGAGCCACAGCGAGAGAGGGAACACAAACAGGGGGAGCGGGAGAGGGAGAAGCAGGCTCCCCGCGGAGCAGGGAGCCCGATGCGGGGCTCGATCCCAGGACCCCGGGATCATGACCTGAACCGAAGGCAGATGCTTAATGACTGAGCCACCCAGGCGCCCCTCGACCAGGGTTTTTAAGCACTACAGAGTATGTCGCAGTGTAGATATGCCATGGTTTATTTCTTCATGCCCCTGGTCCCCCCACCAATACATCTTTAATCATATCTAAGCTTTTGCTATTCAAAGTAACACTGTCATCAGCATCCTTGTACATGCTTCTCTGGGTCCAAGTATGAGCACTTCTCCATGATATACACCAAGAAGCGGAGTTGTAAGATCATAGGTCGCACACTTTCCTAATTTCAGTAAATACTTCCAAATAAATGCCACCCAACCACACACTGCAAAACGTGGTGTACTCACTTGGAAGCCTGAATCCACTCGTCATAGAGTTCAAAGGTCATCAGAGGTTCCGGCAACTCTCGGAGGTAAGATTTCAAAGCTCCTGGATATCGACACAATATTGGTTCTGAGCCACTTTACACTCACACAGACGCGTCCTACCAGCTGGCATCACCCGCAGCACGTGGGTGCAATCAGGCTTAAAACTGAGCCTTGAATGGATACATCTGATGCATGCTGGGAAGCCACTGGCTCGAGGGTCACGTGACCACGCGCCCTTCCCCGTGAGCCCCTCCAGCACAAGGGAGCCCCTGGCTAAGGGGCCGGGGGCGCCCACCTGCGATGGCGTGGGGGTCTGCTGAGTACTCCTGCACATCCACCACACAGCAGTCCAGAGCGGCCTTCAGCTTCTTCAACTTGGAGGCAGACGGCGCTACTCGGAAGAGTCCCTAGGACAGCACAGGGGGTCAGTGCACAGCCCTGCAACTCAAAGGCACACGAGCAAAAGGAACAAACACAAAGTCTCCCTGGCTCCCTTCCTCCAAAATCTCCTCGATGCGTTTTCCCCATCACCATCTCCCAATATTATAGTTGCCCTGCTCCCTGCAGGGTAAGTGCATGTGCGTGCATGCGTGCGTGTGTGTGTCCTGGGAGACGCAGGGCTCTACTTTTAGAGGCCAAGTCTATGTCCTTAGGGGACGGGCAAACTAGGGGTGGCTTTTCAGGGAGCGATGCCTCGGTTGGCCCCTCCGTGTTTCATTCTTAAAGTGACTTCTGAATCCCTGTCACCTCTTCCAAGCGAACCACTGTACCTTGTACAAAAGTGAGCTCTGAAGAGAAAGAGAAGAAGAAGAAGAAGAAGAAGAAGAAGAAGAAGAAGAAGAAGAAAAAGAAGAAGAAGAAGAAGAAAGAAGAAAGAAGAAGAAGAAGAAGAAAGAAGAAGAAAGAAAAAGAGGAAGAAAAAAGGAGAAAGAAGAAGAGGAAGGAAGAAGAAGACGATGAAGACGACGACGAAGACAGGGGTGTGCTGAAGAGACAAATGCAGGTCACCAGTAGAACGGAACCCCCCCAAGCCACAGGTGAGTTGGACATGGTCGAAGAGCTATTGATTGGTTTCGCTTTCTCAGCTCCTGGGGTTCTGTGATGCAGCCCACAGACTGAGAAATGGGCTGGCAGAATAGTCCTTGCTCTTTCAACCTTGCGTGGCCACCATTTGGATCTCCAAAGGTTCTTCAGAAGAAAATGTGCCTGGTCTGGAATACGGAGTGTTTGGCCTGCTAAGATGGCTAACTCCGTTCTAAGCAGATGTCCAAAGCTCTCTTCCTCCGTTTATGTGAAGAAGCTCCATAAATATGTTTGGACTAGTGTATAACTAAGGCTGATGTGACCAAGACCAAGCTACAGCAGATACCAAAGCAGTGGATCGGACTCTCATAAAACCATGCCACTGCCGAGGAGGAAACCAAACGCAATGGCACTTGGTGACGGACAATGCCAAAGAGAAGCGAGTAGCGTTGTCAAACAGAAGCCTACAGATTTTTGACTGTGTTACTGAGAAGGCTGTTTCACTGAGCGACAGATAAAAACCAAGAGGAGGAGGAGGAGATTCTTACAAAAGCTAGTGAGTCCAGTTTGGGGGCGTCTGAGGAAAATCTGTGGGTGCATAATGAAGAAATGGCGGCACACATGGGAGTGGAGCCCAGAGGAGCGGGGAGGACCCCAAATGTTCCCCGAGGGCAGGGATGGGGTGATGGTGCTGATAATCCCGACGGTGCTGGCAGGGGCGAGAGGGAAACCGGGGAGCCAAGGCAAAAACAAAACCAAAGAGCTGGGGAAGGAAGAGGCTGTAGTTGGGTCGAAAAAAGATTTTTTTCTTTTTCCCAGGCTTGGTACAACCTGAGCATTTCTGCTACTAAAAGGAGAAAAGCTGGTACAAAGTAGGGAGAAACAGAAAAGGGAGGGGGGTGGTTGAGGGAGAGGCAGAAAGAACCCGTGGACGCGGATTAGATATTTGAAGATATTAACACATTCTGTTTCCTTTTTGTATATGATGTTTTTATGTTCTATATTATATGTAATTACTATTTATTCCCTATCTTTTAGAGAAACATACTGAAGTATTACAGGTGAAATGACACAGTGTCTGGGATGGGCTCCCAATTATCCAAGGCAGGCGTTGGGCGGGGGCAGGAACGGAGGCAGAGGGGAAGCAGGATTGTCCGTAAGCTGGGTGATGAGGCTCATTATTTTATCTTTATGTGTTGCAGTTTTTCCGTAATTTTAAAAAGCGATGGCAGGGGGGTGGGGGTGGGGTGGGGAGGCTCAGTTCACCTCCGTCCATAAGGCTCTGGCTCAGGGACTGTAAAGATCTCCTCATCTAGTAACTGATAACAGACACAGAAATGCCCGACACTTAAAACGTGGTCCCAAACCCCACATTTATCCCCATCCCTTGAGAACAGGCCACCTGTCAACATGTCTGGCACAGAGGCAGTGACCAACGTGCATTCGGACGCTCATTAGCTTCCTTCTCTGGTGCAGACTCACCTCAGTTTGTCCCACGTGACCCAGGGCCCACGTAAAGACTCGCAGCTGTTCTGAATTAATCTGAATTAATCTGAATTAATCGGGTGCATTTGATGGATGCTAGACACATGTCCCCCAGCACGTTCATAAGCCACCATCTCCCCCTTGTACACCCCGCTCAGCGATAAATGCACGGCACGCCCTAAGTGAATCTCGACTGGCCGATCAGATCAAAGGAAGATGGACCAGAGATTTTTAAAATAGCCCACAGAAGGGACCAAACTCGAGGTCCACGTCCCAGGAGACCATTTACACGGCAATAAAACAACAGTCGCCCATTTCCCATAGACTTCTTCACATGTGGCCCTCAAGACGGGCTTGCTAACGTCACTATCAATCCTACTTTCGGGATCTCTAGAAAAGAGTTATGATCAAAAAGGTTAGAAGGTCTATTTTTAAAATGAGGGAACCCATCAAGCAAAGAAAGAAGAGGAGGAAGAGGAGGAGGAGGAGGGTGCAGAAGAAGAGGAAAAGGAGGGAAGGGGGAGCAGCGTGGACACATCCTGGGGAATATGGAGACAGGACGGCTGGAGGGCGGCTAGACGTTCCTTGGGGGCCAGCGGTATCAGCCTCCCACAGTCCAAGTGAAGGCTCACGGGAGAAAACAGGACCAATGTGTGTGCTGCAGGACGGGGAGAGGAGGAGATCCCGCAGGCTCTGTGGCCCGGAGAAGACACCTGCTGGGGGCTGGGTTCAGCCGTCCCCGGACCTACCTCCTCCTGCATCCCACACTCAAGCAGCATTGTCACACAGGCCTCGATGGGAAAGGCGATCTCCCGGCCGCTGATCATCAGGTGCTCCTCCAGAGGCTTCCCGAAGGAAGGCTTCTCCACCCAGGCCTCTGAGCGGGGAAGCAAGAGAGGGGCCCGTCAGCAGTCAGTGAAGGGCACTCATGCTCGAATATTTCTTTTCCTCTGGTCAAAGATCTGCCTGACTCCCCAGGACACGGAGGCCCCGCTGAGTCTCCATTCTTGTGGTTTGGGGAGGAGGGAGGAGCCCGGCGGGGCAGATGGCTGGTGAGCTGCGTCTGGACCTGCCGGGCTTCGTGCTGGATACGCACCAACCACACACACCCACGCACACCCCCCAACTCATCCCCTGCAGGGAGCAGTGTGTGTGTGGGTGTGCTGGCTCAAAGGACCAGCGTGGGAAGTTCTAGAGGCTCGTCTCAATGTGGGCCTGTTGAGAGGTGCGTGAGGGTGGAGGAGATCGGGGCCTGAGGGTCTCGTCCCAGCGGGCAAGCGGCCTCACCCACCTCCCCGCTCCAAGAAAGGTCTGCACTTACCCTGTTGTGCTTTTATCTGAGGCAACACAGCCTGCAAGAGGGCCAGTGACTTCCTGTGGTACTCTGCTTGCACTTCGATGAGCTGAGGAGACACAAGGGCGAGCATCCCCTTTGCTGGAGGGTGGGGAGCGCAGCTGCTGTGCGCCGTGGGGGGCTCTGCGTGAAGGTGCTACCTGATTCGCAGGGAGGGTGGCAGAGTCCCCTGCTCTCTCTCAGGCCGCCTCAAATGATGACTCGAGCTTGCCTCCTCCTTAGCCTTGGGAGCAAAGGAGTCCCCAACAAGTGGACATTTTCGAGGCAGGAGAGCCACTGAGGATGAGGGGGGACCACCCCGGGCCTGGCGCCTGACACAGACGGCTTGCCTTCACCGTAACCTTACCTTGCCTTGCACCCCATGCTCAAAGCAAAGGCAACAGACAGAGGTACAACAGGAAACTATAAACGGGGAACACATTTAGAAATCCATTTGCCTAGGAGCACCTGGGTGGCTCAGTCGGTGAAGCGTCCGACTCTTGGTTTTGGCTCAGGTCACGATCTCCGGGCCGTGGGATCAAGCCCTGTGTTGGGCTCCGTGCTCGGTGGGGAGTCTGCCTGGGATTCTCTCTCTCCCTCTGCTCCTCCCCCACCCCAAGCATGCATGCTCTCATGCTATCAAAGAAATAAATAAATCTTTAAAAAAAAAATCCATTTGCCTAGAAGACAGAGCTAAATGCTAGGGTGTATATATCTTGGTTTCTGCAAAGTCAGTTTAATATATAAGTGATCAGAAACCCTGTGGCTTGGGCGCCTGGGTGGCTCAGTTGGTTAAG